GAACATAATTAAAGCATAGTGATTAATCACAAAACAATATGTAATTATATATGTGTTTTCCAATGGTCTTAGGTGACCCCCGTGAAAGTGTCGTTCGACCCCCAAAGGGGTCGTGACCCACAGGTTGAGAACCACTGCTCTAGAAGCTTTGTAGCTTTAGCTTTCACATTTAGGTGTGTGATCCATATTGAGTTAACTTTTGTGTACAGTGTGAGATTCGAGGCACAGCTTACTTTTTCCAAATGGGTAATCACTTGCTGCAGCATCATTTATTTAAATCATCATTGTGTCCTCACTGAGTTGGTGCCTTTAATATAAACCAGATGACAGTTTATGTGTTCCCTTTGTGGACTCTTTCAGTTACCTTGGTCTACTTGTCTATCCTTATACCTGTCTATTTTTTTCTCAAGTATTGTAGCATATATTGTAGTGAGTCTTGGATCTGGAATATTAAGTTCTCTAACTTTGCCCTTCCTTCTTCAAGGTTGTTTTGGCTACTATAAGTCTCTTGCATCTCTATATAAATTGTAGAACAGGTTTGTCAACTTGTTCAAAAACTCTGCTGGAATTTTGATAGCAACTGCATCGATTCTGTAAATCAGTTTGGAGAATATGGATATCTTAACAGTAATGGGAGCCTCTCCCTAATCCAGACATAATGCCATTACTTGATACATAAATGGATGTCTGGGACTGGGTAGTAGGTGTCTAATAATTTATCTATTGGATTTAATGTAATTTTAAGATAACTTGACGTGTATTTTTTAAATCTATGTTACATTAAACAGGTTATTATCAGCAGTTTCCACTATGCCTTTAAATAGAATGTTGACTTTTAAAACTGAAGCTTCAACTATTTCTAAGTTTGGGTTAAGGCCAGCATGTCAAACTCAAAGGCTAACACGGGCCAAATAAAGGAGGCATGCGGCCTGCAGGCTGTGACTCTGACATGCTTGGGTTAAGGAATGGCTCAGAGTCTATCTTGGAAATCCATTTTGTTCATTTATGTATTACACTTAAGAATGTCTAAAGAAATAATGAAGTAACTCATTAATTCAGCATTAATTAAAATTTAGGGTCCTTTTCACATATTTATGTATTGTTAGTGTCATTTGAAGTATTTAGTATATTATCTTTTAAAGTGTTTCAAATAAAAGTTCTCTGATTTAAATTATAGATTCATCTCTGATTTTAAAATCTGGGTACTTTTTTTTCAGAGACAAAAGAATTTGTCCTGATCGACACCATATTAATCCAGAAATAGACAATCCAAGAAAATTATCCAACCAGGCTATACCATTGTTTGGATACATTAAAGTAAGTTCTGTTGAAGATTGTTTTGTTGAATGATTAATGGTCATTTTAATGAACATATTTTTTAAGCAGCAGAATCTTAGTAGAATATAATTGTGATTTCCAGTGGTCAGTATTAATTTACCACCATTAATCTAACAATAGGAACCCATCCTTAGAAGGCTCCCAGGTTATTTAGAAAACCAAGGTCAAATTGGGAAAGTGGATAAACCCCTTCAACAATTTCAGAAAGAGCGTTTTTTTGCGGGGGAGGGATTATTAAAAATAATGCATTGACCACATGAGTCTTTTCAGAGCATCCATGATTATTGCTTTGAGGAAAACTCTGAGATGCAGATAGAATTGCTGAGTTTTCTTTTGAATCCTTTTTATAACTTTTTGAGCTTGATTACCTTTTCACCTTCCCTTTCCCTTAAAGCAGCGGTTCTCAACCTGTGGGTCGTGCCCCCTTTGGCGGTCGAACGACCCTTTCACAGGGATCGCTTATGACCATCCTGCATATCAGATATTTACATTACGATTCATAACAGTAGCAACATTACAGTTATGAATTAGCAACAAAAATAATTTTATGGTTGGGTCACAACGTGAGGAACTGTATTTAAAGGGCCAGAAGGTTGAGAACCACTGTCTTAGAGTATATCTGTTGTGCTGTACTCATTTTCGGTGATTGCTGTAACAAACCGTAAACTGGGTGACTCACGACAACAGATTTATTGTCCTGGTTGAGTGTCATCCTGTGCACCAAAAGGTCATAGGTTCAGTTCCTGGTCAGAGCGCATACCCAGGTTTCAGGATTGATCCTCATGTTTCTCTCTCACATGGATGTTTTCTCAACTACTTGAGTAAATACCAAAGAGTGTGATTTTGTGAGCATTGTATAGTCAGGCTTTTTGTTTTGTAAAAAACTGCCATACTGTTTTCTGAAGGGCCTGTGCCATTTTGCATTCCCACCAGCAGTAAATGAGTTTTACCAGCATTTGATGTTGTCAGTGTTTTGGCTCTTAGCCTTTCTAATAGGGTATTTTTTCCATTGAATTTTAGAGAGTGAAAGAGAGGGAGGGAGGTGGAGAGAGAAATATCAATGTGAGACTCATTGATTGGTAGCCTCCCACACACGCCCCAACCAGGGCCAGGGATCGAACCTGCAAAACAAGGTTTGTGCCCTTGACTGGGAATCGAACCCAAGACCCTTCAGTGCGTGGGCTGACGATCTGTCTACTGAGCCGTACCGGCCAGGGTGGTCAGGGTGGTAGTGGTATCTTGTTTTAATTCATATTCCCCTGATGACATATAATTTTGTTTTGTTTTGTCTTTTTTTAATCCTCACCCAAGGATCTTTTCCCATTGATTTTTAAAGAGTGGAGGGGGAGAGACAGAGAGATACATCAATGTGAGAAAGACACATTGATTGGTTGCGTCTGGGGCCGGGGATCGAGCCTGCAACTGAAGTATGTGCCTTTGACTGGTATCGAACCGGCGACCCTTCAGTCTGCAGGCTGATGCTTTATCCACTGAGCCAAACTGGCAGGGCCCTGATGACTTGATTTTGAACATCTTTTCATATGCTTATTTGTCACTTGTATATTTTTTTTGGTGGGTGGTGGGATATTAGTTCAGGTGTTTTGCCCTATTTTTTGTTGTTAATCCTCCAGGATATTTTTTCCATTGGTTTTTAGGGAGAGTGGAAGGGAAGAGAGAGAGAGAGAGAGAAAAACATCTATGTGACACATCGATTGGTTGCCTCCTGCACATGCCCTGGGGCTGGGAATCAAGCCTACGAGCCTTCAGTGCACAGACCAGTGCTCTAACTATTGAGCAACACTGGCTGGGCTGCCCATTTTTTAATCTGGTTGTATGTTGTTTTAAATCTTTATTGTTGAGAATATCACAGATGTTTCCCTTTTTCCTCTCATTGCCCCCCACTACCCTGTTCCCGCCCCACCCCAGGCCTTCACCACTCTACTGTCTGTGTCTATAGGTAACAAATATATGCATATAAGATCTTTGGTTAATCTCTCCCTGCTCCCCAAACCCCTTCCCTCTGAGATTCGTGAATCTGTTCCATGGCTCTTATTCTATTTTATTCATCAGTTTATTTTGCTCCTTAGGTTTCTTGTTTGTTTGATTTTTAAATTTAGTTATTGATAGATATGTATTTATTGCCATTTTATTATTCATCTTTTTTCTCTTCCTCCCCTTCCTCTTCCACCTCCTCCTCCCTCCCCCTTCTTCCCTTTCCCTCCTCCTCCTGCTCCTTCTCTCCCCTCTCCCCGTTCCCCCTCAACATTTCATGTAATAGTGTTTTGGTGGGGATGAACTCTTTTAGCTTTTCCTTATCTGTGAAGCTCTTCATCTGATCTCTCATTCTAAATGATAGCTTTGCTGGGTAGAGTACTCTTGGTTGTAGGTCCTTGCTGTTCATCACTTTGAATATTTCTTGCCACTCCCTTCTGGCCTGCAAAGTATCTGTTGAGAAATCAGCTGACAGTCGGATGGGCACTCCCTTGTAGGTAACTGGCTGCTTTTCTCTTGATGCTTTTAAGATTCTCTCTTTGTCTTTAACCCTTGGCATTTTAATTATGATGTGTCTTGATGTGGGCCTCTTTGGGATCCTCTTATTTGGGGTTCTCTGTGCTTCCTGGACTTGTAAGTCTATTTTGTTCACCAGGTAGGGAAGTTTTCTGTCATTATTTCTTCAGATAGTTTTCCAATATCTCGTGCTCTCTCTTCTCCTTCTGGAACCCCCATAATGTGAATGTTGGTACACTTGAAGTTGTCCCAGAAGCTCCTTACACTATCTTCATATTTTTGGATTCTTTTTTCTTTTTGCTCTTCTGAGTGGGTGTTTTTTGCTCCTTTATGTTCTAAGTTGTTGATTTGATTCTCAGAATCATGTATTCTCCTGTTGAATCCCTGTAAATTATTCTTTATTTCAGTTAGTATATGCTTAATATCTTACTGGTTGTTTTTCATGTCTTTGACATTCTCACTAAGATGCTTGAAAGTCTTACTAAGTCCCTTGAAGCGCTCATTAATTCCCTTGAAACTCTCATTAAGACCCTTGAATAACCTTATAACCATTGTTTTGAACTCTGTATCCAGTAGTTTGCTTGCTTTCATTTCTCTCATTTGTGACATGTTTCTTTGTCACAGGAGGTGCAGACCATTTTACGGTGTTCATATTTCCACAAAAATATAGGTACAATAATAAACAGTTTCTTTGTCCACATTTTGGCTGCTTCCCTGTGTTTGTTTCTCTATATTAGGTAGAGCTGCTATGTCTCCTGGAATTGGTAGAGTGGCCTTGTGTAGTAGGTGTTCTGTTAGCTCAGCCTCCCCAGTCATCTGATCTAGGCACTCCAGATGTGCCCCTTTGTGGGCTGTGTGCACAGTCTTTTTTTTTTCCCGCCGGGGTGTGGGTGGGGGTGAGGGAGGCAAAGGGGAGGGACCGGGGAAAGCTGCTCTCGCTGCAGCTCTGGCCCGTGGGGCGCAGGGGCACTCTGACCCGGGAGGAGGAAGGGGGAAGGAGGTGGGAAGAGGCTGCACAGTCTTATTGTAGTTGAGTTTTGATTGCTGTTGTTGTTACTGGGAGGAATTGACCTCAGGGCCAATTGGCTGTGAGGATCAGCTGCATCCACAATGGGAGAGCTGCTGTGTAGGAGACACCCCTGTGGAGCAGGACTTGTTTCAGTGGGGCTTTGGTGCTCCCTGAGTCTGCCCCCTGAGTGTGTCGTGTTGTAATCTGGTATGGTCTGAAGCTGTCAACTGGTGGCCCTGACTCTGGGGCTTCCCAGGAGGTGCAAAGTCAGCCACTGCCTGGGGTCACCTGGCAGGAACTACAAAGAGATCTGCAGATGGCTGCTACTTGTATTGGGCTATGAAGTGCCCAGGAAAAGCCTAGCTGTGAAGCAAGGCAGGCTGGTGCTAGTGCCAGGTCTCGGGCCTTTTATTGATAGGTTTGATGCCAGCTGTTGCTGCTTTCAGAGATTTTAACAAAGTCTGAAGCCTGAGCTAGGACAGGCCATTCATATGGAAAAGCTATTGCAAACAGGTTGGGTGGGGCTGCAAATTGGATGGGGTAGGGTCTCAGGGAATCACCAGGATGGAATGAATAATATGGGCTATGCTGATAGAAACTCAGATATGACTGCCAGTCAGCTCTGTGATGGGGGAGGTCCCAGCACAGTGACAATGACCCCTGCGAGCACCTCTGTCTGGGAGAAAGCCAACTCCAAATTCCTGCCCCGATGCCAGACAGTCCATTTCCTCCCCAGATATCCTTGGATTGTCCCAAAGCTGCCATCCAGCGCTGGAGCTCAGAGGAAGCAGGACCATGTTAGTTTGTGTGCCGGCCCTTTAAGAGGAATATCTGGGACTTCCGTTGCATCCCTGTCACTCAGGCACAATCCCCACTTGTTTTTACAGCCTGAAGTTATAGGGACTTCTCTTCCCAGTTCTGGAACCCTGGGCTGGAGGTCTGGTATGGGGTTGGGACCCCCTAGTTCTCACAGGAGGCCTTGACAATATCTCTCCCAATTAAAAAAAGGCACACATGGGTGTGGACCAGCCTTTTCTGCACCTCCAACTCCTGCTACCAGTCTCAGTGTATTTTCTTCTTTACTTCTCTAGTTGTGGGACTTTCATTCAGCCAGATTTCGGGCGGTTCTGAATGATGGTTGTTCTGTATTTTAGTTGTAATTTTGATGTGGTTGAGGGAGGCAGTGTGTACCAGCATTTACCTATGTTGCCATCTTGGTTCTCTGATTGTATGTTTTCTTATTGTTTAGTTTTAAGTGTTTGTATATTTTGGATACCAGCCCTCTATCAGATATGTATTTTGAAAAAAATTTCTTCAAATCTGTGGCTTGTCTTTTCATTTCCCTTATTTTTTTTGCAGAGCAGAAGTTCTTAATTTTAATGAAGCCCAACATTCCAATTTTTTCTTTCATGGATAGTGCTTTTGGTGTTGCATACAGACTCATTGCTAAATCCAAGGTCACCTAGATTTTCTCCCTGTCTTCTTCCTCATCTGCTTTTATATGGGGGTCCATGGAGATACTTGGTCAGTTTTAATTGCAAATTGTTTCCCTGACTTTTTGGTTTGCTGTCTCATTGATCTGTCTTTATGTGGAGATTTAGGGATGATAAAAAAATATAACACTTGACTACTGCCATCTTCCCAGAACCCTTCTAACCAAGCCTCTTTTTATTCAACCACCTGAGGATATGTATTTTTATTGATTTTTAGAGAAAGAAAAAGAGAGAGAGAAACATTGATATGAGAGATAAACATTGGTGTGAGAAACATTGGTCGGTTGCCCTCTGCAAGCACGCTGACCGGGGACTGTGGAAGAGAGAGAGAAAGAGGAAGGGATAGGGAGAGAGAGATAGAAACATCAATGATGAGAGAGAATCATCAATTGGCTGCTTCCCGCACACCTGGGGATCGAGCCCGCAACCCGGGCATGTGCTCTGACCGGGAATCGAACCGTGACCTCCTGATTCATAGATCAACACTCATCCACTGAGCCACGCTGGTTGGGCTAGTTTGTTCAGTTTTGATAAACATATATAATCATGTAACCAAAACCACATCATGATATTAAAACTTCCATTACCCCAGTGAGGTCTCTCCTTTCCCCCTTGACGTCACTCAGTCCTTTCCCCACTCCCCCAACCCCTGGTAACCCCTGGTCTGTAACTATCAGTTTGTCTTTACTAGAATTTCATATTAATGGACTCATACAGTACGTAGGCTTTTGTGTCTCATTTCTATCAGCTTAATTCTTTTGAGATTCATCTATGTTGCTCTATTTTATTGCTGAGTAGGATTCCATTTATATGGGTTTATCATGGTTTGTTCTCAAGTTGATGGGCATTTGGGTGGTTTGTGTTTCTGGCTGCCATGAACCATTTGTGTTTCAAGTCTTTTATACATTTTCATTTCTCTTGAGTAAGACCTTGGAGTGAAATTGCTGGGTCATATGATAAGTGGATATTTATAAGAAGCTGCATTCTCACCAGCACTGCATATGAGAATTCCGGTTGGTACATTCTCATCAGTACTTGGTATTCTCAGCCTTTAATTTTTGTCACTCTGTTGCATTTGCACTGATATCTTATTTTGTATTTCCCTGGTGATAAAGAAGCTTGGACGTCTTTTCACTGCTTATTGACTATTTGTATCTCTTCTTTTATGAACTCTCTGTTCAGAATTTATGTCCACTTTTAAAATTTAGGTTTTCTTTTTGTTGAGTTAAGAATTCTTTATATATTCTGGATATCCTTTGTCAGATATATTGCAAATATTTTCTCCCACTTGAAAATCAAAACTCGGTTGAAGCATTGTCCTGTACACCAGAAGGTTGAGGGTTCGATTCTGTGTCAGGGCACATACCTAGGTTGTAGGTTTGATCCCTGGCCAGGGTGGGTATGGGAGGCAACCCATTGATGTTTCTCTCTCTCTCTCTCTCGCTCTCTCTCTCTCTGTCAAATCAATAAAATCATGTCCTAGCCCAGCCTGCATGGCTCAGTGGTTGAGCATCGACCTATGAACCAGGAGGTCACAGTTCAATTCCTCTTCAGGACATATGCCCAGGTTGCAGGCTCAATCGCCAGTATGGGGCGAGCAGAAGGCATCGGTCAATGATTCTCTCTCATCATTGATGTTTCTATATCTCTCTCTTCCTCTTCCTTCCACTCTGAAATCAATAAAATTATATTTTAAAAAATCATATCCTTGGTTGAGAATTTTTTAAAAACTTTATTTTCTAGTTATTTTAGAAATACAGTTGAGCTCTAGCTTGTTTGACTCAGTGGATAGAGTGTCAGCCTGTGGACTGAAGGGTCCCAGGTTTGATTCCCGTCAAGGGCACATGCCTGGGTTGCAAGCTCGGTCCCCAGTAGGGGGCGTGCAGGAGGCAGCTGATCAATGCTTCTCTCTCATCATTGATGTTTCTATCTCTCTCTCCCTCTCCCTTCTTTTCTGAAATGAATAAAAATGTATTCAAAAGAAAGTATTACAGATGTGTCCCTTAAAAAAAAACGCAATTGATTTTTTACCCTTACCTTGTATCCTGTGACCATAACAAACGGAGTTAGTTGTGTGCACAGGTACTGGGGAGAGTGGAATCAAAACAGGTGGGGGGTGGGGTGTCGAAAAGGGACCCTCCCCGGGTGCCCACACTGGGGGGGGTGGGGTGCAGTTCTGGCATGTGGTACTTTCAGTGCTGAAAACAGGATGGTATGAGATAGATCAGGACAAGTTGATAACCCTACCCTGTCTGGAGGCCTCATGCTCTCCTTCTGTTGAGAGAGTTCAGTTCACAAGCTGCTTTTTGCTGCCTCCTTTCTGCCAGCCTATGTCTTTGGATGTGCTAGTGACCTATGGCAGGGACTGCTGCGGCTGAGGCCAGCTTGACCTGGACTTGTTTACCCCGTGTGTGCTGAGGTCCCTCTCCTTGACATAAAGCCTTGTTATTTGGGAAGTATGGGAGGAAGAAACTGTCCTCTTTATTCCTATCACTCTAAAACAATCACATTACCATTATAGTATATTTTTTCTTTGTACATCTTTTAAAAAATTTTTGTTATTGGTGTATGTATTGTGCCCTGCCCATTTCTCGTAACATTGTAGTGAGCTTTTCTCATCCTCCGTACTGCCTCATGCTCACTGACTGCTGTCACCAAGCGGGCTACTGAATGGAATGCCAGGCTGATGGGGCCTCTGCACCACAGGGGAGAAGACTTCCTGGGAAGGGATCGTTGCCAAGCAGGAAGGGAGACTGAACTCCTGCCTGAGGCGGGGCAGGCTTGAGTACGCACCGAGGGTTTACTGAGGCAGCTTTCTGCACGGGGGTGCTGGAGGATGGCTGGCTTGGGAACTGTGACTGACATGTTACCAGTCCTCTTTCTGCTGACATTCTAGTGGGGATGGTCCACAGTGGACAGG